TCCTTCAGATAAAAACTCATATGCATCATCACTTGTGTTTTTGTCTGGACACATTCAGCATTGAAGCAATACTGGTGTATTGCCATGACAGGGTGAGAGGCTTAACGGTTATTTGAACAATGTCACATTTTCAAGTGAGCTTGTAGCCAGAACTGAAAACTTAAGTCACTTGTTGGCTGGTAAGAAGATAACTTGGTATCTTCATGTAGTTTGAGCAAGTTAGATAGCCTCATGGAGGTAAGAGGAGTTCAGAAGAAATTATCACTGAGTTCCCAAAAAGTAAGCATTATTTACATAACTTCAAGCACAAAAAATGCAACTCTTTCTACATTCTTATGAAGCTGCTCATTAGGTCCCCAGGAGGAAGGTGGAACAGGCACCAAGGTCATGGCTAGTTTGCAGCATGCCCTCTTGCCTGGGTGTCATCTTGCCCTCTTGCCTGGGTGTCATCTTTGGATGGCAGCATGGAAATTGTAATTTAAAAACATGTTGCCCTCTTTGACAATATGACAGCATTGCTGGGGTGGATAACATCGTTTTCAGTGCAGGTTTTGCCAGCCCAGCCATAGCCTCAAGTGCTTGCTTGGCTGAAGCTGTTAGATACCATAGCAGGTGTGTTGTAGTTATATACCCCGCAGTGACCAAGCTAAGGGGGTGCAGAGAGTTGTGTCTCCCCTTCCCTCTTCCTAGGGACCTAAGGAACAGATTTGTGAGAATGTAGAAGAGTTGCATTTTTGTGCTTAGAATTGTAGAACTACTGCTTGCTTTCAATACAGCTGAATGTGTTTGAGAATCTGAGGGCTTGGCTACCTAGAACAAAGCAAGTTAAAGGACAGATGATAACTGAGCACTAGGAGTCAAGGCTAATTAGAAGCACAGATGGCTTTGTGTATGTATAGCCCATCTGAAACGCTGGGAGACAGCACTGCCAGTGGCTGTTAAAAGGCAAAGAAAATTCCCACTGCTAAGCAGTATGGCCAACAGATACAGCCTTAGGTTTGAAAACTGAGTTAATAATAATTCAGGTGTAAGAGGACCAAGCACAACATATTGAGCTATTCTGTTTCGGGAGGTGCCAAAGAGACGACATGCTGGTGCCATCAGAGCAGGGCAGCATGAGGCCTGTGGAGCTGAGACTTGCTGGCTACGAATGCTCTTTCAAGAACTTCCTAGAAGCTAAAACCTTGGGTCTGTGACCATGAGAGCACAGCAGCCCACTCTGCAAAAATATTTGACATATTTCAGAATGCATAATTCAGTGCTTTCTTTCAAAAATGAAACTAAATCTTCCCTACATACTCATTGCTGCTACTCACTATTCAGTTTGGTACACATTGGCTTTGATTGGAAAGTTAATTGGCTTTCAGTCTTTTCTTGGCAGTGGTTTATTTTCCTTATTTTTAGTTAGTCCTGGAATAGCTAAAATCAGCACTAATCGGCTTGTTTAGATAGAGCTACTTGGTATAAAATTTTCCCTGGCTGATCAATTTTCCCGTTCCTTCACATCCACCAAAAGCATGTTAAAATATCTTGCCTATTCTTGTGTCCAGTCTGGAATAGTTTCTAATTAGAGAAGTTAATCTTTGTTTTGTCATGTTTTCGCTGACAAGAATTTCCGTAGATTCCCTGAGACTGGAAGTCTCTGGCAGCTGGAAGGGTAGCCTACTTGAAATGTGGACCATGCAGCTGTCACTGTGGCTGTACAAGGTGTTTTATATTCATGGCTGTTGGAGTCCTTGTAGGATTTGCACTGAGTCCTTATTTAATGTAAGAATTTTCTCCGATGCTATGACTCATGGTCCCTAAGAAGATATGATGGGGGTTTATTTGAGAGGGGCTTCCATGATACAGAGTGGAAAATCTGGCGTGATTGTCAGATAGGACAGGAGGGACTGATATGAAACACCTTTTTTTTTTTTTTTCTTTCTCCCAGTGGTTGCCCATTACCACGGAGCTCCTCAACCTGCAAGTTTAATTCAATCTTTCTATCTTTCTTCAAGTGCCTGTGTCATGCTCCTTCAGTTTTACCCTAAGTTGCAGCTGTTGTTTTGTTTGTAAGCTGGAACTTTTCATGCCCAGCCCCCCAGTGCTTCCCTGTGAGGTTTCATGGTGTTCACACAAACTCTCCAAGGAGCACTCCCCCAGAAACTTGCAGGGGTTTAATTGTTGGTTGTTTTTTGTTTAGTTGGTTTTTTAAACAAAAAAACCCCACCACCAAAACAAAAACAAAGCAAACACAAAACCATAACCAAACAAAAATCCCCCACAAAACCAAACAAGGTTTTGCAACTTTTCTTGCATCACTGTTTCCAAATACAGTAACTTTCATAACAAAGTAAATACTCTACATAATAGTATTTATATATTGTTTGTTGCCATATACTTCATTTTTTGAGATGTAACTTATGCAGATCTTTTACATCTGATGGTTCTGAACCATCTGTCTAGCAAGGTAGAACTGTAAAATATTTTTCATTTATGGTTGGGGTTTTTTAGATGTATCTTCAGAAAGTATGAACAAGTCGAAGGTCTGTAGAGGAAGACATTAAATTCCAGATGATTAGATGAATGAAAATTTTATTGTATGATATAATTTTCAGTCTTTATGTGGTACCAGATTTTGAAAGAGCAAGTATTTTTTTAGCTACTGGTTTCTCTAGAAGGAGGAGAGAAGAAAAAGACAGTGAAAATTTGAAGTTTCTTGTCATATGGATGTTTTTTGCATTAGAGAGAGACCACTATCATGGATATCAAGTCCTAGGGAAAAAGACTCCTATTTTGCCTATACCACCCATTTCATTCAGTGCATAGGTATGAATTTATCAGTCCACAGTCTGACTCCCTAGATTATAAGTCAGTGAAGAGGCAGAATAAAGTCATCCTTTACTTTTAGTAGAGGAAAGGAATTAGTTGTGTTTATCTGCCCCGTAGTGTACCATCTCAAAGGTTTTTGTCAGCAATTTGTTGACTGCAGCAGCTCTATTATCTAAGTGGTAGGAGCTGCTGGGAAAGCTCATTTAATGACAGGTTAAATGTTACATAGCTTACTGGAGATTATATGTAATACTGTATTTTATGGTCTAGCCGTGCAGTGCAGAGCTATTCTTGTGTAAAACATGTTAAACATTAACTACTGTTTGGATACAGAAGGTGGAGTATGCTCTCTCTGGTTTCTATTGGGTGTGTGGCTGTTGAAGATAAACATGTACTGGTAGTTAATGCCATAAAGCAAACACCTGTGAGCACAGTAATCGTAGGGCATCAAATCTGCTTTTCCTAGATTTGTGAATTCTTCATGTTCTGCTGTCTCTCCTTATATTGCTTTGCAGGGTTTTCTCCTCCCTCATTTAAGGAGAAACTGTTTAAAATTTGGTGTGCTTTGGTTTGACTTCTGTTAAAAAGTGCTGATTTTACACCACATGGAAAAATATGTTCTGGATAATTTTGTTCTGTTTATAGTAACTATTGTACAAGTAAAGATGATAGTTTCTTAGCAATGTACTGTTTTAAGAAACCATTGTATTCTCATCTGCTTTCAATAGAATGTTAAACTTTAGTTAAGAATGTTTAAGTTTTTATGCAGCCTGTTCTAATGGAGGTCCTAATGCTGCTCCTGAAATTTGATGATTCAATTTCTGTGCTTCTGCTTTGTTAGTAAAAAGACACCCAAAACCCCACCAAAACCCAAAAATTCAACTTAAATGAAATTTTGCTACCTACACTTAAGCGTGCTTGACCTTCTTGGAAAAAATAGAGAGATGAAACATTTCATCTTGTCACTTGGTGGGCAGATTTTAGATAATTTAGAATCCTCAACAGGAGTTCTGCATGTTATATTTGATGCTGCTTTTGTGCAGAAGACCAAACAAAAGGAAGTGAACACTTAAATTTGTAAATTTTGCTACATTTTGGGATGAAGTGGAAATACCTAACAAAAAGCTTTAAAAAAAAAAAGAAAATTGAAAAAAGAAATCCTTAAAGATGTATGAGGGACAGCAGTCACAAAAGCAGATCCTTATATAAAACTGTAGCTTCAGTCTCTTACTCAGCTTTATGGTCGTCTCTTTTATTTTTGGTCAAGGGGTGTTTTTGCTCAAAAACTTGAAAACTTTCTTCTGCAGGTAACACAATAGGGTTTACATGAAAAAGTGATTTCTTATTGTCCCTTCCTCCTACCCACCAAGCACCAAAGGAAGCACTATAAAACAAAAACTAGAAAACAAAGCTACCTCCAACCTTTATTCTTCTAGTGTTGAAGAACTGAGTATCTAAATTTTTGCCTTGACCTTAGAACAAGTACACAGGCCAATGCAGCCTAGCTTTAAAATCAGCTAACACTTCTACTAGTACCTGTAGCCGATAGTTGGGGTTAGTTTTATTTCCATGCCTGTGAGTTTCAGGTGGCATGGCAAGTAAGAATTAGAGCTTTTTTGGCCCTGTTTTGTTTCTTTGTTTAAAGGCTGTAAATGTGATTGCAATTAACAACGTACATGGAAGATTCTTATCATATCCCACTAATTTCCTTCACAGTGCTCTTCCAAGCGTTCGGGCTGTCCAGGGCTTCAGTGGTGGTATGGCACTTCATGACTGCAGTTGATACATGATAACAACCAGCAGATCTCAGGCAGTGTGTCAAGCAAACTTTTCCTGGAAAATCTGTCTTCCTGGGGTCTAAAATTTTGGCTCTGTCACTTAAGACACATACAGGACATAAGCCTTTCTTTTCTCTCATACACTTTTAGTTACAGTGAACTTTGAAAGTTTTCTTTGAGAGGGAAATCTGATGCTGTTGGAATAGCTGCAGACAGGAACAGCATGTCACTCTATCTTTCCTGTGGGAAATGAAAAGAAATGTCAATACAATTCTCCAGAATAAATAGAATTGCTATTTAGGTATTGTTTTCCATTGTGTATCTCCTCTCACCCATTCGAACTTAAAAATAAACACACCCAATTTCACACTGACCCATAAAAAAACCCCACTTTCTTTTCTGTTACAGAAAAATGCAAAGGGACAGGAGTTGTTTGACCAGATTGTGTATCATTTGGACCTTGTGGAAACTGATTACTTTGGTCTACAATTCATGGACGCTTCCCAAGTTACAGTAAGTATAACTTCAGTCAATTTTTATGTTTTGCAGTAATCTGTGTTGCCTATTATAAAAGTGTTACTGGTGCAGTTCTCTGGAGAGATGCAGGCATTAGAGGACATACTGCTGAAACAAGTGATACCATGTTTGGATCTTGCACATAAAGCCTCATCCTCTAAATGAGTGTTTTGTCATTTTATATGTTGTGCATGTGACTTACTTGCACTTAACTAAAAAAAGAAATACATCTGGGAAAAGAAAAATGTACTTTATGTTTAGTTGGCTCATGGTATTCAGAATGGGTTGAATCTCTTGCAAGCAAGGGTTTCTTGTAACTCCTATCCTTTCTTTCCATGCACAGATTATACTGCTTTGTGTGTTTACGTTCATTCGCAAAAGTGAAAACTTTTCTCTGTCTTCATTATCTAATTGCCTCCAGCATCTACAGATAAAATAAATAAATACCCCTCCAATATTTACAGATGCAGATACGTAGACATATTAGTAAGATAGTGTTAAAAGACTGCAGCCTTGTGGTTGCACTGTACTGCTCTGTATTTAATCTTCTCCCTTTTCTGTTCACTTTCTGTGAACAGGCAGTTTGACAAAAACCTGCATTGTCGATAGAGAATATGCAGACTTGGAAAATAAGTGTGTGATTTTTGTACTCTCTGGCCAGTATGTAAATGTTTTTTCCGTGAAGCAACAGAAGACGTACTCTGTGATATCAGAGTAAACTAATGGGAAAATGTAGCCACAATATTGACATTTTGGGAAACGTAGATTCTAACCTTTTCATCCCAGAGTTCTCAGCTGTATTCTCAAACAAGCTCAAGTCAGTGTGATGGGGATGGATCAATGTTTAGCAGCTGCACAATCATCTGTGTTTTACCAATGATCTTAAACAACAAACAGGAAACCTGTCCAGGTATTATAATTACTTGATACTGGAAAAAGGGAATCTGTGGTTTTGGGGAGAAGTGGTGTTAATCTATTTAAACATTATCCTGATGTCTCAATTAATTTAGGGATAGGTATTTATCACTGGAAACTGATGTTTTGAATAAAGTATGTCCATAATGAGTTTGGGATTTTTAGGAAGTTTAGTGTGTGTGTGTGTTCACGATAAAATTTATATCACATAAATTGTGTGTTCTTTGGTGATGGACCTAGTTATAAGGACACAGCTAATAGAGCAGAGCCTGCTCAAAAGAGGAAAAACACATTATATCATTACTGATTGTCAAATCACCTAACTGGGAAGTTGATAGCTAGGAACCTGTCAAGGAGTTCTATAATGTTTTGAAAGAAGGGAAGCACATAGGGAGAGTGAAATATCCTTTCTTAGCAAGAGAGAAGGCAGATCAGAAGCCAAAAACCTGGTTTTCTGAGGAAGCAGAGAATGTTCATTTTCTTGTATATTTGCAAAACTGAAGGGCTCTTTTTAATGGCAAGAAAGACGAAAGGGACATGTGAGCAGCTATGATTTGTGTAGATAACTCTATCCCTGGTACTCAGGGCAACACATGAATATAAGTGCAAATGTTTCATCTTTCTGTGTATGGTATTTCTTTCTTCCTTATTAGGGAGGAAAGTAAATGGTGGCATCTACAGTTCCAAGAGGGATAAGGCGTGTAAAGACCTGCTGAGGGGGCCTAAAAAAGCTATTACTGGTTGCGGGGCTTTGGTGGTAGGATTATGGTTTCCTGTATTAAGAGGAGGAGTGTTGAGGGCAGAGTTATTTACCTTCACTGAAGTGCAAGGCCAAAAGCTCTTACTTGCCTTTTTTGGGGGGAGGGGCAGCAGTTTGTTTATACTGGCTCAAGCTGGGCACAGAGTAGAACTTAAGAGAGCTTCAAGGCAAAAGCTTTTATCTTACCCAGCACCCTGTGCAAAAAGGTTCCAAGCATTAACAGCCTTCCTTGGTCTGTTTTGGACTTGTGACTGGCTCTTTTCATTAACATAGCAATTAATGCATAGCCTGCATGGGCTTCTACTTAGTGACAGCCCAGCCACACAGTGGCAATTGCAGGACTGGGAGATTAAAGTTGTGTAAACTCCTTGAGTCTCTAAGCCTTTGTCTTTAGAATGTATTGTTATGTTCTAAACATCTTTAAGCCACCGTTATAAATAAGGGAGCACAAAATAGCCTTTGAATAGCGGAGATTGCTTCTATGCACTTCAAGGCCAGCAGCTTTTGAGTGCACTGTGTTTCCTGCAGTTCTGTAACTTTGCCAAAGATTCAGGACAAGCAGTGTTGATAACTGTGATTTAGAAAAGAAAATCATGATTAGAGCTTATCTACTTTGAAACAGAAAAAAACTTTATTTGTTTGAACAGCTTATTTTTAATACAAAAAACCCCATAAAGCTGTGAAAAGCGAGATGTCAGCAGTAATGCAGAAAATACTGCAAAGCCTATTCAGTGAACTCTGTATTAATTTGTGTCTTGTGCTCTTTGAAGACATCCACGAATAGGAGGATGTAGACAATCGTTTGTAGCTTATTATAAAACAAAGCTTAGTGTACTATTGTATTTTAATATTATTATTTGCTGTTAACTCCAGAAGTAGAAATACTGTAATGTAAAATAATTTCTTGTTCAGCTAATGTTACAGAACTTCAACAGAGATGTAGTGCTTGGGCTGATTTAAGTATGTAACTTTGATGTAGGAGAGCTCTGCAGTGGTTTAGAGAAAACATGAAGCTTACTGGGTTTTTAGTTAATTGTACTACAATGTGTGTGTTCTAGCAAAGCAGGAAACCTTGAAAGTTTTAGTTGAGGTTCAGAATAGCACTAATACTGTCTTGTGAGACCATACTGTCGAAGTTTAGTTGCCATGAGGAAGTATTTTATTGATCTTTGCAGAAACTGGTCATGTGCAACATATTCTATGGTTGGTTTGGGTGCTTGACATGTATTTTTGACTGCTGGTAGCTAATTCTTGCATATTTCCAAAACGTTTTAAGAAAATGGGTGTCCGAGGTTAACAGCTCCTTGTGAGCTCCGTATTTTAGGTTCTCTCAAGATACAGATATCTCCATTTCTACAGCTGCATTCTTTGTTCCAGTGTTCTGTCCTGTGATAGCAAAACATGGATACCCTCCCAGTCCCCTCCTGTTTTACAGAAATTTGTAACAAAAGGATTGCCCATGTTGATTCGCTTGGAATTTGCTTGTTTCGCTCATGATTTTGTTTCTGTTCACAAGAACAATTACAGAGTAATTGAGGGAAAGAAGTTTTAAGATAAATCTTTGAATTTTTGTTTGTTTGTTTGTCCAAATAAACTTCTGTAATCCTTGGGAATGTGTGGAAGCAAAAGAATTAAAATGCCACTTTCCTCACACGTGTCTCTTTCAGTAATTCTCTAAGTTATTTAAGTCCTTTGTGTCTGCTGTCTAATGTCACACAAGCCCCTTGGCTTAAAGAACGTCCTATGGAACAGCCTTTCCCAGCTGTGCTCTACAGCTGTTTTGAGGATGTGTGTATGCACCCAATGTATCAGGCACGTTAGGAAGCACTGGATTTACGGCATGTGTACAGCAAGACGGTTGTGTGAGGACAACCTGTGCTTCCTGCAAGTGCCCATGGCTATGCAGGGGAGATGAGAGCCGGGACCAGCCTGCAGTGAATTGTCCTGGCAAATGGTGTTTTCATCTGAATTTCTTAATATTGACCAATTCCTAAATTGGGTTTTGATTCACTTGGTGCAAGAGGTGAGAAGACAATGGAGGAGATGATAAGAGTGTGTAGAAGCTAAAGCTGGCTTTCGTGAAAACAGTTGCAGGTATAAAAACAGGAGCAAAAAAATATGGCTAGAACTGTGTTTCCCAGACTGAGCCTAATCAGCAGCAGTGTGTCAGGACGCACTGATCTGGACACCAAGATCCTCACTTCTGTAGAGGGTAACCTTGTGACCAGGTTTTTCTGGGAGGGTCAGGATCACATATGACTTACAACAAAGGATTTCAACAATGTGGGGGGTTGGGGGTGAAGCAAGCTGGACAACGAAGAATAGTATGAGTGCCTTTGTTTCCTCTACACATCAAGAAACAGATTCCTGGATGTTCCAGCAGGTGTTGGTTCAGGGCATTGTGCGGACTTGGTGCTTCATGACTGCTTCTGCTATATCTGTCTGAATTTTCTTTTAAAGGCTCGTTGTCATTCACATCAGGTTTTTTCAGCTGCTTGATTCTAATATTATTGCAGTGACTTCTTAAGATATGAGGGATGTGGAAAAATGAGCAGTTCAAACCAGTCAATTAGCATCCTAGTGTGATGTCTGGGAGTCTTTTTCCTTATATACTTCTCAGTACTCTAATAACGTGTTCATTAGGCAGAACAAAACAAGGACAAACCTTATTGTTCAATACATTGGATGTGGGGAAGAAGGGAGACTGGTAAATATTTTGATAATACCGAGTGTTTCCTTTTCTGTTTCTGGTAGAATCATACTATTTTCCCATGAATAAATTGTGAAATTCATCCGTGACTCAGTTTCCCCTCCCTGAATCTCTCTTGTTCTCTGGATGATGAGCACTTTGGGGCGGGGGTTGTTGCAGGATGTGTGTCTGCGAATTGTGGCCCAGAACAACAAATACCAGTCACGGATGGAGGGTCCCAAGAGCTGTACAACATCCTGTAGCAGTTGATGCTTCAGTTTCTAATAGTGATACAAATGCCGGTTCAGTAACTTGAAAAAGGCAATGTGGATGACTCTGTAGCGATGCAGAACACCTGATGAATGTGGAACACTTCTAGTTTTGGCTGTTCAAGGCTATATTGCAGTCTGTGAACACTTGGTAGGAGACTTCAAAATACTTTAAAATTCCCAGAGCATCTCCAGTTTTTAGTCTTTCAGTAGCGTTTTCTGTTTCAGGAGGGTTGAAGACCTTTTTTCTGACACAGACTTGAGGAGCAGCCATACAGGGCAGGTGGTTGTGACAGAGTCTGTCAGTGCTTCTGCACATCTCTCCTAAAGTGTAAAGAAGTCAAGCCTCAGTCTATGCAGGAGA